TAAAGAGAATTCGTTTTATTATTTTATATGAAAAAAAAATATATATATATATATATATTAATTATATATATATATATATATATAAAAATATCATATAAATAAATATAAGTTGACTCCTGTATTATATATAGAACTTGTGATATAATTTTTTGTATCTCCTAAAAAAAATGAGTTAAGGGAAAAAAATAACTAGGCTTCTACACCACGAACTGAACTTCTTGCCAGTCTAATGACACTCAAGTTAACTTACGAAAGTGTACTTAACCTGTTGAAAATTGCTTATTCACAACTTGCCCATTTGGAGGGAAACTTTAAATGACATTTTGATTCATTCTGGACCATTTATGAAGACGTTACTTGGTCCTGGACGGACCGAAACGTCGAATATTGCTTCCTAACAAAATTTTGGGATTGTTGTGAATTGTTCCAGTCACGGAATTGTGATTTTAATAGAAAAATCAGCTAATGTAATGCTAATATAAACAGGTATGAATTCACAATAAAACGAGGTAGAAATATGCCACAAGAAAAGCAGGTAGAAGTATGCCTAAATGAAACAATGTAGATATGTGCAAAAATAAAACTAAGTGGATATATGAAAAATTAACTTATTTAATGAATAATTTTTGGATTCCAGTGACTTGATGGCAAGGTTGAATAATTAGCCTATGAAAGTACTTGGAAAGAATTTATGTATATATTTGCCGGCTTCAAGCATTAGAAATATTAATACAGATCTTAGGTCATAAAACTCAATGCCGCAGATATGCGGCAACTGCGTGTCAACGTGGATGTAGACACGCAGGTCTCTTGTGGTGTGTTGTGGGTGGTAGTGGCGGTGGTAGGGTGTTGACACTGGTGGTGCTAGTGCTACGACTTAGGATAATGTATGCAGGTTACTTTGTAGTCGCTTCCGAGGGTCACCGCCGCCTCGGCCAGGTCCCAGACCAGGCCTCTTGGTTGCTGGCCTGATCGATCGGATTGATGGTGCATGCAGACGAACGTATGCACCACAGCCCTGTTGCTCAGGAACTGATTTGAGGAATTTGTCTAGTTCCCTCTTGAAGATAGGTAGCGGCTTGTTGGTAATTCCCCTTATGAACGATGGGAGGACATTGAAGAGTCGTAGTCCCTTCACAGTTGTTCTTTCTCAGCATATTCATCACGTCCCTGCTTTTTATTGGTGTCTTGCACCAACTACCATACCTTGTGCTTTCATAAGAAGCGAGCTGCGTGCGCAGGCTTGCAACTAATCCTCTCAGAATCTTCCAGGTGTAGATTATGATACATCTTGTCAACGTTCTAAGGAGTACAGTGCGAGAGGCTTGAAGTGCTGTCCCTTTAAGGCAGTTTTGCCTGCCCTGAAGAGGGCTGTTAGTACAGAGCAGTATTCCATAGATGATGAGTGACCTGAAGAGTGGTAGCGGTAGAGACTGGTAGTGGAGGTAGTTATAGCTTCGGCGTCGGCAACAGTGGCAGTGGATAGGTTCAGTCAAGTTAAATTATTGTCTATCAGTAAAAATGTGATATAATTTATACAATTATACGAAATGTAACATAAAGGAGATAAAAAGTTTTGAAGATCGAACAAAAAGCAGACTAATTAACTACATGAAAATAAACATGTATAATCACTGTTTACGACTTTAGAATAATGACCCATTTGACTGTCTTAGCAACAGTGAAATATTGACCGTTATGAGGATGGGCTGTAGTAGCTTCAATGGGAGCAACACCAACACTGTAGCAATGGTAGAGGTGTAAAGGGTTGTGGAGTGTAAGATAAGTAAGGTTTATGGTTGGGTCGTGCACTGCGTCACGAATCATGGTTCCTCACCTCAGTATGAAGGCGGGACTTTATTACCCGGCACATGCACTTTTTGTTCATATACTCTGAGATTAGTAAAGTTACTCCACCACCTCCCTTCCCCTCCCCATTAATGTTATTGCGAAAAGGAGCCTCTCCCTACTACCACTGGGGAGGGGAGGTGCTCCTGCTGCTACTGAGGTGTTGGTAACCCCCTCCCCTTCCCCACTGATGCCACAGAGGCTAGTCACCATTGCTGTCGCTTGGAAAGTGTTCCCGCTAATGGTAATGGAAAGATAGGCTCTCTTCCCGCGGTTCCCTTTCTTATCTCACAGTATATTATTGTATACATTTTTAAGTCCCTTCAGTGTCGTTTTCATTATAATCCTCCCCCCCCTCTCACTCTCTCTCCTGTTTACTGTTGTCAGGCCAGTTGTTTTAATCTCTCGGGTAATATTCCTTAGCTTGGGGACTAATCTCGTTGTAAACCTCTACACTTTTCTTTCTTCTCATGCTTAATACTGGTGTTGCATCATGTTCATCAAACGACTGACGTATCTGGTTTAAGAGGTTATGAATGAATGTGTGCAGCTACTGGGTATCTTTATTATGTAGACTTGTCGATACTGTGTATCATTGTTGTGGTTTCTGAAAGCTTCTCTTAGATTCATTAGTTTCGCATTTGCCTCATAAGTTGTTCGGTTGATGATCATCAATGTTGATGTGCTCCTTAAAAGAAGTTTGCATCCTCTTCCTCATCCTCTTCCCTATTATGATTACGATTCACGGTCTTTCCCATCCTCTAATTTTTTGTAACGTTTTATTTTCTAGGGTTGAATTATTTCCTCAAGAGGTCCTTGATGGCAGTGAGGGACTCTTGTTCCAGGCAACTGAACTTATTCTCCCATTCCTTGGATCGAACTTGATTATCCACCATTTCCTAGGCACTATATTAAAGCATAGAGAGCTGAGTGACCTCGGATGCAAAACGATTAACTAAATCTCAACTTCTCGGTTATTCTTATCTTTCTCTTAAGTATTCTTTGATCACTGTAATTCCTTCATGTTATTCTTGCCTGCTCGCCTTAGTTCGGTCTCTTAAACTATACTGCAAAATGCCTTTCTGCTCTCCAGAATATGCAGTCCATCCATCTGTGTCTTTACTGTTACTCTCAAAGAGCTTTAAATCTTGGTTGTTAAACTGGTTCACTATAGGTGCACCACAACTCTATCTTCCCCATTATCTTAAATGGTTTATAATGCAAGAATATCAACCTGTAATTCAACTCTCGCCCATTGCATGAATATTGGAGATATATTCACTGTTGTAGCAAGTAACCTTTTTATTATGACGTATTGTAAATTTTAGGTACTTGTTCACAGTGCTTCTGCTCCCTCTTGTCAGTAGTTTCTTCAGTATTTGCCTTGATTGGATATTGTGTGCTGAGTAATGAGGAAGTGCTAAACCAATGTTGGTTATACAATACCTGGGAAATGGGAGATAATCAGACTCGAGACAATGGAAAGGGATATCATCTCCAGTTTCTTGAATAAAGAACCATTTATCGGCATCAAGGTTCGTCCTTTAGTACATGACTTGCAAATAAATGGGCACTACCAAGTTCACGTAATATTTATTAACGGAAGTAAGCAAACACATCTTAAGTCACTAGTTCCTGACACGGTCAGTGTTTCCCCATGAATACAATAGGGTATAGAAACACGAAATTTTGTACAGCTTATTTGATTTATACTGTGGCAAGGCGATAGTCACGTTAAAACTAATGAAAGAAAAAAATACCTGCGTATTGAGGTTTAAGGGAATCTGGCGACGTATCAAATTATTATAGAAATCAGACGGCGTTTTGAAGTAAGTGATATTTTTTATAGGCCATGAGAGTGATGACAAGAATGGAGAAGCATAGAACAGAAAGACAGAACAGTGAAAAAAGGTTGTGGGAAGATTGGAAGAGGAGGGGAGTAAGAAAAGTTCAATGGATTATCCAATTTGTATTGGTTTAAAAGGAGTTTTTTGTATTTTTATCAGTGACGAGTGTGGTATAGTCGTATCTGGCACTGTTGAACTTCTGCTAATACTTGTCATAGACAAATTCACTCATTTCCAGCACGAGAGAAGTTCATTTAAATGCCAGAACACGCCATCTTTCACCGAATTCGGTAATGGGTATTTTTAAGTAGTTTGTGAAGTTCTTTGTAAGGCGCGTGTCCTTTGTGAGTCGAAAATGGTGAAAGTTTGTATAATGGAACTGTCGTGGAGGGAGACTTTGGACTATGAAACCTTCCGTTGTGTGCACGTTTGATGGATGGTCAGTGTTGTTGCGGCCTCACTGTTGCTGTGACCTCACAACGCTGTAGTGTGACCTCACTGAAGGTTGTGTTGCTGTGACCTCACTGAGGATTGTGACCTCACTGAAGGTTGTGTTGAGCTCGCAGGAGGGTATTAATGTGACCTTGCTAAAGGTTGTTAGACCTCGCTGAGGGTTACTGTGACCTCGCCGAAGGTTACTGTGACCTCGCCGGAGGTTACTAATGTGACCTCGTTGAAGGTTGATTCTTAAGCCCCCCTTCTAAGGAGGTTTCTTGACGCTGGTAAGGGGCTCTTGATACGCGGATTGACCCTACGGGTCAATCCGTGAATGCAGTAATAATTCACCTTAAATTAATAATGCAAACAGAATCTTTACATAGTGAAGATGAGCATAAAACAACTGACATACACTTTCATGTAGACACTGTATGCTGAGCTTATATACATCATGTGTGGTTACGCCATAACTGCGTATATTGCGTGGTGTCATAACTGCTTATATTGTGTATGGTTGCACCATAATTGCGTATATTGTGTGTGGCTGCGCCATAATTAAGTACAGTGTAATTGTGCCTTAATAGAGAACAAGTAGCGTACTGTCTGGAGCTTAGAGGATCGAGGATCGAGCTTCACCAATGTTTGCGTTGAATGACCCCCAACTAGTCCAGTGTGCTTCACTTGCATACTACTACATGTTTGTTGACACAAAAGAAATTTCGGGGAAAATATATCAGAAGATAAGTACTCTATATTTTTGCCTCATAATACATCTATTTCATGTGAGTTCCTGTGTGCCATTTACTCGTGCAATTATTATTCTTGTGTTTGTGTTTATAATGTTTTTTTTTTGTGCGTGTGCCGCAGCTCATCTGATGCAGCAGCTGGAGGACTACATGGCGCAGTACCCGAAAGTGCGGATCGTCAGAGCTCCAAAGAGAGAGGGTCTCATCCGCGCCAGGCTGATGGGAGCGCGCCACGCCACTGCCCCCGTACTCACCTTCCTCGACTCCCACTGCGAGTGTACCACAGGTCAGCCCCACCTTCCTCGACTTCCATTGCTAGTGCACCACAGGTCTGATTCGCTCTTACACCGCCGTGGGTCATGCAGCGCATGCGGTTAATGGACGGAGAACCAAAGCGTCATTTGTTTTTAGGTTTTTGCCCTGAGACGAGAAATCGTTGGGAGGCTTCACTCGTCCCTGGAGTGAATATACCGCTATTAAAAATGTACATATCAGTCCAAATAATTAACACTCCTTTGTCAACATGAACACCATACTTTTCTGAACAGAGAGAAAAAATTATAAAAGGGAATCTCAGAAATATGTTGGTTATTAAAAATTTATAGATAAAGGGGAGGAATTTCTTAGTAACAACCGAGACATAGGAATAATGACGAGATTGTTGCTAAATACTGTTGGGTGAGTTCACGCTCATGCAATGAGAGGAAAAAATCCAGCACTAGTTACAATGGGTTGGATTGGAAGGAAGTGAGATTGAGAAGGTAGGAGTTTTAAAAGGAGGAAAGAGACGAAATTGATGGACAAACCCTAAAAGGACGAAAATATGCGAGGATAAGTGTAGTTCTGAATGTTAGTTTTGCCCATCCTCCACAGTCCTTCCTCAGACTTCACTAGGTTCGACAAGACACGAAAATCTTTAATCTTTATTCCTTCATCTCTGAACTATTAATATGATTATATTGTATACGTTGAGAGATGATTACCCTCATATGAACTCCATTCCATACAGCAGATATTGTCTGTGATATCGCCTTGCCCTTTTCTCGTGAGGAGGTCCTGTGCACAAATATCCTCTTAAATACGTAGTATGTTACGTAATTTAATGTTGGATAATTTAACTAAAGTTCATATTAGCGAGTTATTTAACCTTCATAAAAGGCTTTCATAAAAGGCTCGTTATCTGAGGAACGGGAATTGATTAATCCCTCGATATTTCTCTGATCAAACCTGCATAGTCAAAACTTCCGGCTTTTTTCTTTTAATTTGTGACGGCTTTAGTAATGTGATTTTTAGCCTTTGACCGAATTATGGAATCGTAGTGTGGAATGCGATTACAAATTTTAAGTTGTTTAATTTACATTGTGGAGATTTTTGTAACACAACAGAAAATTGTTGACAGTTGCAGGTTGGTAATGGAAAACAATGGTGGAAACTGACGTGATAATTCATGTACCAAAAGCACTGAAAATCATATTTTAAGTTTCATCCATAGTGAAGTTTTGTCAAGTACATGATGAAGCTCTACTGTGGATAAAACTTCTCAAAATTAAGATGTACCATGCTGAAAGCGTCTGTGAATTAAAATGCTGTCAGCGGCTGTATCTAGAGAGTTGAATAACCGATGTTTGTCTCTTTAAAAAACTATGCAAAGGAAATTAAATTACCATTTGTTACGTCGTTAAGGTAGGGACAGATTTCAAACACTTGGAGTTAATTGCTCCGAAGTCTATTAAAAATCAGTTGTTGACTGACTTGGAAGAGGAAATGAGTCAAAGAAAATTTCATCTGTACAACCTGGCCAATATTTTAAGATTGCTGTTTCATTGGTTGCTCTCTGTTCAGTTGAGGGAATCTGTTTTCACCAATGTTGTATTCGTTATATATCCTTGTCTTAATCTCCCACGCTGGGCTAACCTAACCTCTCCCTCCCTAGAGCCCTGAATGATATATAAGGTCAAAACGCTTTTCAAATCTCGAAATTACCTTCCAAGTCCTTCCCTGCCGCATTGGCTTAACCTAGCAGGTGGTACAGAAATTTGTTTGAGCAAGCAAACCGTACCACGGGTGGGATTAGAACCCGCGATTGTTTACAATTAGAACCCGCGATTGTTTGCAATTGTCATTACGATTTCGTGAGTCGAGTCTTGTTTGAGCAAGACTTGATTCGTTATGTAGGCTTACCCCAATCAGACATTGTTTACAATGACCAGAGTCGCCTGTGAAAAGAACTTCAGTGTAAGGAGACAGGCAGTGGTAGCGAAGAATTCTGTAACATTATGCAAAGACTGACTGACGATTGTGTTGATACGTCTGTCACGAGAAAAGTGGAATATTGCTTCTGAAGCTTGTCTAGAGAAATAAGAACATTGTGCATGACATGAGTCTGTCATGTCTAGCTCCCCTTTGGGTACTGGTCCCCCCGCCCAAATTCGGGGGAAAAAAGTTTTCCCCTCGTATAACAAAAGTATCCCCCCCCAACGCACTAAGGAGCTAGGTAGTTATTTTAAAAATTTTAAAAGGGAAAGGGGGTTAAATTTTTGGCAATTTTTGGGGGGTTTTTGGTTTCGGGGTTGATTAGGCGGTGGGGGTTGGGGGCTGGGAGGGGGGGGGGTTTTTACTTTGGGGGAAAAATTGTTTTCCTTCCCCCATCTGGCCTTTTTTGCCCCCCCGGGGGTCTGGGGTTTTGGGGGAGGAAATTTTTTTAAAAATGGGGGGGGGGGGTTTTATTGGGGGGGGGTTTTTAAAATTTTAAATTTTAAAACGATTTTTTTATTTGGGTTTAAAATTTTTTATTTTTGGTTTTAAAAAAATTTTAAAAAATTTTGGAAAAATTGTTTTCTCCCCTTTGGGTAAGGTCCCCCGGAAAAATTTTTCTAATTTTTTGTTCAATGATCCCCCCCCAAGATTGGGAAAAAGGGTTTTTTGTTTAAAATTTTTTTTTCAAAAAGGGTAAATTTTCCTTTTTTTGGAAAAATTTTTTTTGGTTTTTTTCCCCCAAATTGGGTTGGGTTTTAACGGGAAGGGGGGGTTTTTTAAAGGGGCTTTGGGGGGTAATGCTTTTTACCCCATTGTTTTTCAAAAGTATTTTGCGGCCGGGCTTGGAGCGTTGTGTAGTGGGTTAAAATTGGGGGGTTTACAATTTCCCCGGGGTGAGGTTGTTAAAAGAGGGGGAAAGTTTGGGGAAAATTTGTCAAAGGATGGATTTTGGTTTGTGTGTTGGTGAAGTGGTTTGTTTGTTGTTGAGAATTGGAAATTGTTGTTTTGGTTGTGGTGTATGTTTGGTTTTGGTGGAAATTTTGGGGTTTGTTTTCCTGTTAAAGTTGGGGTTTGGTTTTTGTGTTAGTTGTGGTTTTGGTTGGGGGGTTAATTTGGTTTTGTTTTGTGGGGTGTTGTGGGTTTTTTGGGTTGTTTGTTTTGATGTCCCGGGTGGGGTGTGTATGGTGGGTGGGGGTGTGGTGTGGGTGGTAGTGGTTTTTTGTATTTTTGGTTGATTTGGGTGTGTTTTTGGTTTTGCCTTGTTTTTTTGTGTGTGTTGGTTTTTTGGTTTTTGGGTTTAAAAAGGTTTTTGTGGGCCCCTTTTCTGTTTGGTTTTTTTGGAAGGTTTTTTGTTTTTTTATTGTTTTATTTTTAATTTTTAAAAATTTTTTTTTTTTTTAAAATTTTTTTATTTTTGTTTTTTTTTTTTTTTTTTATTTTTTTTGTTTTTTTGTTTTTTTATTGTTTTTATTTTTTTTTTTTTTTTTTGTTTTATTTTTTTTTTTTATTTTTTTTTTTTTTTTGTTATAAAAATTTTTATTATATTTATTTATTTTAAATTTTTTTATTATAAAATATTTATATTTATAATTTTTATTTTTTAAAATTTTTTATATTTTTAATTTTTTATATTTTTTATATTTTATTAATTTTTTTAAATTTATATATAAATTTTTTTTTTTATATATTTTTTTTATAATATATAAAATTTTATATATATTATAATTTTTATTTTTAATATATATATATTATATTAAATTAATATTAATATATTTTAAATTTTTATATTTATTAATTTTTATATATATTTATAATATATATTATTTATATATTTTTTATATATATATATATTATATATATATTATTATATATATTATATATATTATTATATATATATTTATTTTTTAATATATAATATATATATTTATATATATAAATATATATATATATATATATAATATAAATATATATATATATAAAATATATATATAATATATATATTATAATATATTTATATAATATAATATTATATATATTATATATAAAAATTTAATAATATATATTTATTTTATATTATATAATACTTATATTTTTAAATATAATATTTATTATATATTATTATATATATATACATATTTTTAAAAATTTATATATATATATTAATATATATTTAATTTTTAATTATATATATATATATAAAATATATATATATTAAATTATTATCTATAATATATATATTATATATATTATAATATATATATTAATATATATATATATATATTTTAATATATATTATATATTATTATATATATATATAAAAATATAATTATTTTATATATATAATTTTATATATATAATATATATAATATAAATATAAATATTATTAATATATTTTAAAACCCTTTTCTTTAGGTAAAAATTTGCGTTTTGGCTTAAACAGCAACCGGTGTTCTTGCCGATAAGAAAGAGCTTGCTATTTGAACCAAAAATCCCAAGATTACCTATTCAGCACGCCAAAATATAAGACCCTTGGTGAAAGGGAAGGGGGGGGGGGATATAGACACACGTGTCCATGCGTTGGTGGTAAGTGACACATGAATGTGGCTACTTAGCCTTCTTCCCAGGACTATCCTTACCCTCCTCACCGCAGCCATTACCATCATCACGGCTCTGGGGATCGAATGAATAACGATACCACGAAAAGCACTCTCCAAAATATGCTAGGAATCCAAATTTACTCCCCTTTCGAAACCTTCAAATTTTACTCGACCATTACGTCTGCAGTCATCCTAGTATGCTGCTGTGTGATGATACTTTGTTATACGAGGGGAAAATCTGTATTACACCCGATATTTCGGCGTGTGGACCAGTAATCCAAGAGGAGGCTATGACATGACAGACTCATGTCATGCACAATGTTCTTATTTCTCTAGACAAGCTTCAGAAGCAATATTCCACTTTTCTCGTGACAGACGTATCAACACAATCGTCAGTCAGTCTTTGCATAATGTTACAGAATTCTTCGCTACC